TAATGCTGGAGGAGCGAATAATGTAGGTTACTGTTACCAAAGTGGAATTGGTGTTGAAAAGAATGAAAGTAAATCATTTATTTATTTTAAAAAGTCTGCAGAGATGGGTGATGTTGATGGAATATTAAATGTTGGATGTTGTTACGAAAATGGAGTCGGAATTGAAAAGGATGAACAAAAGGCATTCATTTATTATAAAAAAGCTGCAGAGATGGGTGATGCTCGTGGAATGAACAATATTGGAAATTTCCATCGAAATGGAATTGGAATTAAAAAGGATGAACATAAAGCATTTGTTTATTACCAAAAATCTGCTGATATGGGCTATCCTGAAGGAATAAATAATCTTGCTCGTTGTTATTACGACGGAATTGGAGTGGAAATGGATAAACATAAAGCATTCATTTATTATCAAAAATCTGCTGAAATTGGCGATGTGGAAGGAATAAATAATCTCGGACATTGTTATCGATTTGGAATTGGTGTTGAAAAAGATGAACATAAGGCATTTATTTATTGTCAAAAATCTGCCGAAATGGGAGATGCTAAAGGAATGAATAACCTTGGATATTATTATCAAAAAGGAATTGCAGTAGAAAAGGACGAGCACAAAGCATTTATTTATTATCAAAAATCTGCAGAGATGGGAAATGCTCGAGCAGAATATGCACTTGGTTATTGTTATCATAACGGAATTGGAACTGAAAAGGATGAACATAAGACATTCATTCATTATAAAAAATCTGCGGAGATGGGAGATGTTTTTGGAATGAATTGTCTTGGAAATTGTTATCGATTTGGAATTGGTACTGGAAAAGATGAATGTAAGGCATTTCGTTACTATCATAAATCTTCTATGTTGGGGAACGCAGGTGGAACATACAGCCTTGGCTATTGTTATCAAAATGGAGTTGGGATTAAGAAAAACGAACAAATGGCATTAATTTATTTTCATTTATCTGCAGAGATGGGTGTTTCTGATGCTATGTTTCAAGTTGGTTGTTATTATCGAAATGGGGTTGGAGTTGAAAAGGATATGATTGAGGCATTCAATTATTTTCAAAAATCTGCTGACATGGGTAATGCTAATGGGATGCATAATGTTGGATATTATTATCAAAATGGGATTGGTGTCGAAAAGGATGAACATAAAGCATTTACCTATTATCAAAAATCTTTTGAAATGGGAAATGCTCAAGCAGAATATGCACTTGGTTATTGCTATCATAACGGAATTGGAACTGAAAAGGATGTACAGAAAGCTTTCATTTATTATAAAAAATCTGCGGAGATGGGAAATGTTAATGGAATGTCTCTTACTGGAGATTGTTATCGAAATGGAATTGGTATAACAAGAGATTTAGAAAAATCAAATTATTGGTATCAAATGTAAGTATTTTGATATTTTTTATAAGTCAATTTTTCGGTTCTCATAATCACAGTCAATTCATATATCTTCAAAAAAAAGAAAAGAAAACATGTATAAATAATATAAGTATTTATATTTAAACGAATAGTAAAGTTGACAGGCGCTTAAATTTTATACCATGAGAATCGAATAGCTAGTCTTGAATTATTAATTTTTTACGAATATAAATTAACAAATATATACATCCAATTGCTAATTAGGGAAAATACCATATCGCCAGGTACTTACGTTATTTTCAATATATTTATAATGGTTCAAAAATTAAGTTTAAATATATATTATATTTACATTTATTTATTAGCCATAAATGACTGGATGTCTAAAAGCTCTGATATTGATGATAATTTGAAAAGTATTTTAGTTGAAAATAACTATAATTTGCCGTGGATTCCTTGTAATGAGTTTGAATATATAGAAAAAATAGGAAAGGGTGGATATGCAACCGTATATTCTGCTAGATGGTTTCATGAAGGTCGAAATAGTGAAGGGACAGTAGCACTTAAATTGCTTCACGGATCTAAAAACTGTAATGAAGAATTCATAAACGAGGTAATTTTATTTGAAAGCATTTAGCAAATAATCAATGATTTATATTAATAATTTATACTTTTTTTTAACAAGTTGAAAGCATATTGTAATACCGGTATCGAAGATCTTACGTTTTTAAAATGGTTTGGCATATCAAAGGATGTTATTTCAGAAGATTATATCTTCGTTATACAATATGCAAGAATGGGTTCTTTACGTGAAAATATTTATACCGTATCGCAAATGGAATGGAAAAAGAAATTAACACTGCTGAATTGTATCGCCTCTGATCTTCGGATACTTCATTCAAAAAATATTATTCATCGGGATTTACATAGTGGAAATATACTATTAAATGATTTGAATAGCGCATATATTTCGGACTTAGGACTTTCAAAATCAGTTAATAATATAGAATCGAATAATAACATATGCGGTATAATGCCATATATAGCACCAGAAGTATTATACAGTAAAGAATATAGTATGGCATCTGATGTATATTCTTTTGGCATCGTGGCGTGTGAAATAGCAGCAGGTGTTCTGGCATATAGTAATACTCCACATGATTTACAACTAGCACGTAATATTCATCGTGGCTTACGTCCAAGTATTCCAACAAGTACACCAAAATTAATTGCTGAACTAATAATTAAATGTTTGGATGCAAAGCCAGAAAAGAGGCCAACATCTGAAAAAATATATAATAGTATAAGTATTTGGATTAATGATGAATCAGCCGAATTTATTGCACAAATAAAAAAAGCTGATGAGGTGCTTGAAAATCAAGTATTGGAGCCGTCTTATTCTAAAGAGATTTATGTCAGAAAGCAATTCGAGTCTCTGTCAGATCATCTAGGTATTACTTAATTATATGACATTATAATTATACAATATTAAAATTTCGCTAACATATACACATATATTGATTATTACAATGCTTTTTAAGATAAAGATAGCCAATACAAGCAAGAGAATAATGAAACTTTAATAATTTTGGATCCATATTCGACCTCTCAGGCTAATGCAACTGAAATTGAAAAGGAAAAAAATTTTACTCATGACGATATTGAAATTGAAAAGAATAATCATAATGCGTACACCTTTTATAAAAGTTCTTCTAATATTGTGGATACTAGTGAAATGGTTAAACTTGGATATTGCTATCGAAAAGGAATTGGGATTGAAAAGGATGAACACAAGGCATTCATTTATTATCAGAAATCTGCTGATATGGGCAATGCGGATGGAATTAACGATCTTGGACATTGTTATAGAATTGGAATCGGAGTTGAAAAAGATGAGAATAAAGCATTCACTTATTATAATAAAGCTGCTGAAATGAATAATGTTAATGGAATTTTCAATCTTGGTATTTGTTATCATTATGGAATTGGAGTTGAAAAGAATGAACATCAGGCGTTTAATTATTGCAAAAAATCTGCTGAATTGGGTTATTCTGATGCTTTATGTACTCTTGCAAACCTTTATTACTATGGAATTGGGATTGAAAAAGACGAAAAAAATGCATTCATTTATTTTCAAAAATCTGCTGATATTGGGGATGTTGAGGGAATAAATAACGTTAGTTATTGTTACAGAAATGGAATTGGTGTTGAAAAGGATGAACATAAGGCATTTATTAATTATCAAAAAACGGCAGATATGGGTGATTTTTATGGAATATATAACCTTGGTAATTGTTATCATTATGGAATTGGGGTTGAAAAGGATGATAATAAGGCATTTATCTATTATCAAAAGGTTGCTGATATGGGATTTTTAACCGGAATATCTCAAGTCGGTTATTGTTATCAAAATGGAGTTGGAGTTGAAAGGAATGAATATAAAGCGTTTGTCTATTATCAGAAATCTGCAGATATGGGAGACGCTGATGGTGCATGTAATGTTGGTTATTGTTATGCTAATGGAATTGGAGTTAAAAAAGATGAATGTAAAGCTTTTCTTTATTATCAAAAGTCTGTAGAAATGGGTCATGCTAAGGGAATGTACAACCTTGGTTTTTGTTATCAAAATGGCATTGGAATTGAAAAAGATGAATGTAAAGCATTTGTCTATTATCAAAAATCCGCTGAGTTGGGAAACACTGAAGCAATGCTCCAACTTGGTAATTGTTATCAAAATGGTGTTGGAGTCGATAAGGATGAACATAAGGCACTTATTTATTATCAAAAATCTGCCGAGATATCCAGTTTCACTGAAAACTATATCCCGACTTTTAATTCTAACCAGCGCTAACTCTAAATCAAGCTATCTAATTATAAATCAGGTCAACTTAGGGATTTAAACCGCTCAATTGCATTTATAAATTAAACATATTAAGCCAATACTATTTTCAAAAACATAAAAATTAAATAAGATTTTTTAGTATATATAATATAAGTGTGAACATTATATAAATCCTTATATATTTTAAAATAAAATATCTTCTTTCAGAAGTTACAAATAACAAAAAACAATATTTTTATAATTTAATTCTGTTGCTTTTTTTTCTAGCGATACTAGAGATTCTTTTGTTTATAACTCCAAAAATGTTAAATCAGATAATAATATGATATTTATTTTAATATTGTTAAAGTTTTATATATATAGTAAGTCTACACATTTTTATACTCAGTTGTACTTTTGAATTAAAGTATTCATATAATAAACCACTTTTATAAAACTTGTTTTTATCACAGTAGTCTTTAATGTGGATAAACTCAAGTCTCATGTTTCTAATTTTTTTTCAAAAAGAGTGCATACAAATGTTATATACTTATTTGTTTATTATTGGTTTCAAATTTTGTTCAATGTTTATATCAAGATGAAGTTTACCAAACTATTTAATAAAAAATTTTTATTCATGATAAATAATAATATTGAAGTATGCTTAAAATAAGAACACAAAAAATATGAAAATTATTTATAAAAAAAGAAAATGAAAAATGAAATGAAAAAAAATGAAAAATGAAAAGGAAAGAAAAAATGAAAAGAAAAAATGAAAAGATAAAAAAAAAGATTAAAATCGACTATTCATGATTTATCTTTTGATGAGCAAACTTGTCATCAAATAAGCAAGATTTTCATTTTCCAAACATGATGAGCACATATCATAATCGCATTGTTTACACTGTAAACGTCTACCATAACAAAATTTTCTACATTCATCACACATCCACATTTTAGGAGTTTGTACATAACGAAGAGGATGACGTCTCTGGCAGTGACTTTTAGGTTCGCATACTTCACTAGGTTTGCAATGGCTAGAACAAGCATCAAAACTGCAAATGTCACAATGATATTGAGAATTCTATGTACACACAAAATTTATAAAAAATTAATAATTTATAATTTATAAAAATTTTTTAAAATCTAAAATACAATAGTTTTTAAGGATGAAAGGCATACCGTTGTTAGACCATCCTTTCCACACACATCACACCACCATTCTCCTTTTTGATATTTTTGTTTCAAGTTATGACCCGCAAAACATTGAGGAGCAGGTAGTCTTATTACAGAATTCATTGAACTAGATACATCGATCAATAGGGCATAATCGATGGCGACCTGGCTGAGATTTCTATGCCTTTGTACTTCGGCCCATGAAGCGGAATAGTTACCAACAGATAGACTGCCAAGAGAGAGAGATAGAGAGGTAGTAATTTTATGGGCGATAGTCAGGAATACAAGTTCAAGAAGGAAAAAGTCTTTAACAGGAAAGTAGATGAAGTTGCCAGCATTAGCCATCTGAGTTTGTTTTAAAATATTGAAAAATTATTTACACTTTAAAAAACATAGGTTACTGTGAAAAAGCTTATTTAAATAATATATATAAAATAAATAAAATGAAATGATACCTGTTCCATCTTGGTTGAATTCACATTGTCACCAACACCCACAAGAAACAAAAAGTTACTAGAATCTTTAGTAAATAAGCGTGATATTTCACCAGCGCATTTAAGTAAACTAAGAGTACTGCCAGTGTCATCACCATCAGTAACGACAACCAAAATCCAAGGACGAGTACGTTCACCACTAGTGTGGAAGGCTTTTATTATATCAACTATACTGTCATAAAGACGAGTGGAACCATTAACATAATTCTTTAATCCGTTAAGAGAACGGTAAAGTGATGCTTCATTTCTAGTGAAGTTCTGTAAAAAGAAAGCAGTGAAAAAAAAAGTTAGAAAAAGTTATAAATTATAAAATTATACATAAAAATTTACCTGTCGTACAATCATCCTACTATTAAATGTAGCAATGCATCCACGATCTAATCCATCACGGTGTAAATTCCTTACAAATTCAGTGCTTGCCTTAATTGCGCAACTGATTTGGGTGTTTTCAGTGCTTCTTGTAACCAATGCCATTTTTTTAGCTTGAAATTTTTGTTTGAAATTTCTAGAGAAATCGCGTTGATTTATAGAAATTTTTTTATAGTATACAATACCATACTATAATCTTTTTAAAAAATGCATTTGAAACCACGCTGATTCAAAATTAAGTGTTGTCTATCAATTAGTTTATTTCAACCACATGTTAACACTTTTTATAAATATATACAATTTTCAACAACACGTATTATGCAATATCTTTTGTAAATTACTTATTTACTTTTGTGCGTGTTCACAATTGGCTAGCGCTTGTCAATTAAAAGATCCTATAATTAGATAAGGATATCAAGTTTCAATAGACTGGATTGACTATCAAACACATTATATGATCAAGCATACAAAGGAATCAGGAAAAAAACGTTATCTATACAAACGTAGCTGTTATAGAAAGAAATCTAAAAAGATCGAATTTCTGTGTATCAAATTAATTAACCCAATTTGGATAATATCTAGAATGTAAGAAAAGAAATCATCATCATATGAACTAGGGATGTTACCGAGCTATCGGCACGGCTTCAAGCCATTGTGGGACCTGTGTTATATACAATACTCCGGATCTGTGTTGTACGCAATACTCCGAATACTCCGAAATGAAGCACCTATAGTTTTGAGTAAAAGTGAAAATTTTAAAAATAAACGTTAATATTAAAAAATGTCCTGAAATCAACACACCACTAATTTTAGAAAAATTTAATGTGAGTAATTATGTAGAGTAAGAATATGATGTCATTCAGAAAATGTAATACAGTCGACCATCCATAAGCGCACATTGTCGGGAAAGCGCATAGTATCAACTGCGTTCAATATTATATAAACTGCATTAGACTGATCTAATGAGCATGTGAAGCATATTTATGGTAGTGCACTTATAGAAGATCGACTGTATTAAGTATTGTTCTTAATATATATCGTTTTCCTTATCGTTAAAAAGGGTTAGATAGTTCTGATCCGATAAATTTTATATCCTCGTATTCAGTGAATGTTCGTTTCACCAAATTGAATATAAATACTATGAATATTCTGTAATAATTTAAGTTTCATTACATAGTCGATCAGGTTTAACGCAGATTAGGTACACTAGTAAATTTAAGCTTGAATTTATCATTTATATTGCTATTTTATTTCTTGTTGTACGTCAAAATTAAATTAATGTTGGGCATAATTGCAATAAAATTTCAAAAAAACTTAAATATTAAGAAATTCAATTTAATAAACTTAAATATTAAGAAATTCAATTTCTGTTTAATGTGTAGATAAGACCCCGAACAATACTAAAGAGGTTATATTTGACTCATTAGCCAAATTATACAATTTGATTGATTAAAAAATTTACTAACCAATACAAACTTCTTAATTTTGTAAATTTTCTGCTATTAGCTATTTTTAAAAGACTTTAGTTAGTATAGTTCAGAGTCCTGTGTAGAGTAGATTTAAAGTTAATGAAAAAAAGCAAATGAAAAAATAAAAAAAGATAAGCTAGCTTAATATCAGTTCAATCCTAAACTCTTAGTGATTTAAGAATCCACTTATTTATAATATCTAACCCAAATTCTAACCCTAATCTAACCCTAACTAAACCCTAACCTAACCCTAACTAAACCCTAACCTAACCCT